AGTAAATTACGTTTTTATGAATGGACTCCACGATCCCGTCCACGTTTTCTCAGAAACCGTATGGCTCTAGAAATGTAACCACACTTCAGAACATTTCGGCTTGCCCTGTGTGTTGTTTGAACGAGTTGCAGGGGTGACCTCACGTCACAGGGTCTCTCTTTCTCTCTCTGTAGCATATGCGCCCAGATGCGTTCTCAGCTACCGAAATTTGGCACCGATTAATTTAACGTGAATCGGTACTCTGTAGTATCGACGCAATTCGGTCGGCACCCTTAAAAGTACCGAATTCGGTACCCAACCCTAGTCACAGATGATCAATCAGAAGTGGATGGGATAGGGCTGCACGATAAATCTAAATGAATCCGCAGCCGTGATTAGGCAGAAGCTGCGATGCGTGTTGAAGCAGGGATCTGTGATCAGCAGTAAATCTTCATCTGAAGGCCAGAGAAACTCCAAATACACCTCGCAGAAGAAACCCAGGCAAACCCTATAGCGCTAGCTGAATAAACAGAAGATTGAACTGCTTTCATTGATTCAGCGTGACTAAAAAACACACGACTACGACAATATATGATTTATCTGAGTTCCTCTTATTATAATTTTCATTATAATAAAGTATATAATAATGCAATGCCTTTATCACTGCTTAGAATGCTATGAAATATGTTGCGTGTCTTATTCTGTGTTGGAGCAGCATTTACTACACAGAGCCGTAGTTCACTGAGAAGCTACGCAAACAGCTGTCATTATCGCGCGATTATATCGTCTTGAGATTATGAATGCGGTTTTGCGTAGCTTGTCAGTGAACTACGACTCTGTGTAGTAAATGCTGCTCCATCTGAAAGCAGGTGATGGAGATTTACTACTGATCACAGAACCGCTTTACTGACGAGATGCGCGTGACTATCGCAGTCGATTAATCGTGCAGCGCTAGGACGGGGTGTCATGTTCAGGTGGAGTCATTGGGTTTTCTGCTGTTTGTGGTGTTCAGGGCTGGACGTGAGGTGCGAGGCGTGTCAGAGGTTTTTCCGCGACGGGCTGACGATCTCATTCACCAAAATCCTGACGGATGAGGCCGTGAGCGGCTGGAAGTTTGAGATCCATGTGAGTCTGGGTCTGTCTGTGATCGTACGGTGCAGACGTCTCCCTGATGCTGATCTGTTGCTCTCGTCCCGTTGCAGAGGTGCATCATCAGTAACACCCAGCGTCTGGTGGAGCTCTGCGTGGTCAAGCTGGCTCAGGATTGGTTCCCTCTGCTGGAACTGCTGGCCATGGCCACCAACCCGCACTGCAAGTTCCACATTTACAACGGCACGCGTCCGTCCGAGAGCGTTCCTGCGGGAGCGCAGCTCGCCGACGATGAGCTGTTCGCCCGGCCGCCCGACCCACGCTCTCCAAAGGTACAGCACTGCTTCTGACCTCCCGATCGCAACTGAATGTGATGTAGCGATGCTTTTAGTGCAGTTATCAAACACAGAGCAGTTATTGAGTTTATCAATCTCTGTTTTGCCAATCAGTCACTGGTTAAAAAATTTATATTCCACAAACACAGGCATGGTCAGATAATTTACCTTCAGCCTGTACACATTGAGTTCTTTTACTTAAATGGTTTAAAATTATTTGAGTGGAAGAACTCGATGTGTACAGGCTGAAGGTAAACAATCTAAATCATTGGAGATTGCCAAAGGTGTTCCCCAAGGATCTGTTCTGGGGCCGCTTTTATTTATAATTTATATAAACAGTCTTGATTATGACATTCAGGATGCCAATTTTCATTTTCATGCTGATGATTCTGACATGTATTGTAGTGCCTCTTCTGGGCAACATGCCCTGTATATGCTTCAATCAGCTTTCGATGTCATTCAATCACGGCTTTACAATTTAAAACGTGTCTTGAATGCTGATAAAACCAAATATGTGTTATTTTCAGGTTCAAAAACATTTGAAAATGATTCAATTTCTCTTCAGATCTTACAGGGTAATGTGATTGAATTAGTAAAAGAGTACAAATACCTTGGCATCATTGTTGACGATGTACTATATTTTAGCTCTCATATTACTCAACTGAAGAAAAAATTAAGCTTGGGTTTTACTTGGGAACAAGTTTTGTATTTCATTTAATGCAAGAAAGGAATTAATTTGCGCCATCATGTCTTCTTTAGATGCTGTTTATCATGGCGCTCTAAGATTCATATCAGATTGTAAACCTTCAACTCATCATTGTACTTTGTACAACAGAGTAGCTTGGCCTTCGGTGTCTGTCAGAAGAAAAATACACTGGTATTTAATCATTTATAAAGCCATCTTAGTGATGTTGCCTCCATATCTTTGTCTTATACAACTGAACTGGGTAAGAAGGCTTTTATGTATGCAGCGCCGTCTGACGGGAATCTTCTTCAGTCGAAACTGAAATGACAAAATTAGCTGTCTTTGGATCATTTTAAAACAGTTGTTCTGCAAATGGAAGATGACTCAGTGATATGTGATTGTTTTAAGTGTTCTAAGTTTGTTTCTGTTTTGTAAATTTGTGATGAAACGGATTGAATTGCTGCCCATTTTGGCCAGAACACTCCCGTGAAAGAGGTTTTTAATCTCAGAGAGGCTTTCCTGGTTAGATAAATAAAAATAAAATTCCAGTTCAGACAGGATGATGCACAAGTCAGCTGAGGAACAGAAGATCATTTGTACTGAAGCGGTGTAAGGAAACTCAGATGTATTTGATTAAAAACAATCAAACGTGTCTGTGAAACATACATTAACCTCCTCTTTAGAACGTAGTTACTGGTGTAATCACATGTGACAGTGTCTAGTTAAAGAGGCTAATATTTAAAGGAAGACGACTCAATAATATTTGACCGTAAGCAGTGTGGTTTGTTCGTGACCTCGTCATGGTGTCTCTGGTTCAGGGTTGGCTGGTGGACCTCATCAATAAGTTCGGGACGTTGAACGGGTTCCAGATTCTGCACGATCGCTTCACGAGCGGCCAGGCTCTCAACGTGCAGATCATCGCAGCTCTCATAAAGTACGTCCATTAAATAAACAGCCGACATCTCACTCGTGTCTGCATTTGAGCTGCTGCATGTTCCGCAGAGTCTCATCGTTTCTCGATTTGTCTTCCAGACCTTTCGGCCAGTGCTACGAGTTCTTGACTTTGCACACGGTGAAGAACTTTTTCTTGCCCGTAATCGAGATGGTCCCACAGTTTCTGGAGAACCTCACAGACGAGGAGCTGAAGAAGGAGGCCAAGAACGAGGCCAAGAATGATGCTCTGTCCATGATCATAAAGTCCTTGAAGAACCTGGCGTCCAGAGTTCCGGGTCAAGAGGAAACCGTCAAGAACCTGGAAATCTTCAGGTTAAAAATGATTCTTAGGTAAGCCGTCGTTCATGGTTTAAAAGCTTGTTGAGTTGCTAGTTATGACGTTGATCTGACCTCGTCTTATCTGCTCTCGTCTGCTTTACAGGTTGTTGCAGATTTCTTCATTTAATGGGAAAATGAATGCGCTGAATGAAGTCAACAAGGTGATCTCGAGCGTGTCTTATTACACGCACCGGCACGGAAACCCAGAGGAGGAGGAGTGGCTGACAGCGGAGCGAATGGCCGTAAGAACACTATCAATACACAATCAATCAATCAATCAATCACTCAATCAATCACTGTCACGTTAAATATGACATGGAAACGCACCATGAAATGTGTGTGCGAGTGTGTGCGCGTGCGAGTGTGTGTGCGCGTGCGAGTGTGTGTGTGCGCGTGTGAGTGTGTGTGTGCGAGTGTGTGTGCGTGTATATGCGTGTGTG